ATAATTTATAGCAAACTTTTTACATACTTGTCAAAACCATGTATATAAGGTTAGTTTTACTAATATTATAGCAATATTAACAATAAAAATAAGAATTCCAACTATAATTATTTTACTATGCAATTATAGTCGTAAATACCAAGCATATTTCTCTCAGTGCGACATTTTCAATCGGACACAAGACGCCATATGTAGTGACATATTATACTGGCGTACATTGACAAGCAACGTAACTAAAACGAAAGCAAGATTTCATATAGGTTTCAACTTTTCACGCAAATCGAAGAGAAAGTGCAGGCCGCCTTTGACTACACGTTTAAAACACAAACAAAAAGAACATAAGAAAAGTAATCTTGTTTTAATACTAATGTGTCCGATTGAGACTATTGTGTGTCCGTTTTATCTCGTGTTTGTTTCAGCTTGTGTCCGATTAAAACTGCATTCGATTGCGACTGTGTCCGATTTATACATCTTGCTTTGCCTGTTTCATTTTTGAGTTCATCTAGAACACACCCCGTCTGTGACACTTATATAAATATACGTAGAGAGTGTCGATATATACACATTTTTATATTTTTACATATAGAAACATATAAAAGTAATGCGTGTAAAATATGTATGTACAGAACACAAAACCAATATAACGTCTGTGTAAAACATCACAAATTTTTTTTAGAAATGTAAAATATTTTATTATATATATAGTTTTATATATATATATATATACCCTTACGAAAAAGAACTACTGCCGATTACATATAAATAAAGTCACTACTATAAATATTACTGACAATCACATAAGAATATTATTAGATATTACAGGAATCACTGAAAATATTACTGGCAATTACACAGAATGCCAGTAATTTTTTTACCACTGCCGCAATATATTACTGCTAGTAGTTCTTTTTCGTAAGGGTAGTTATATATATATAGTATACGCTCATATAAAGTTTTCGTATCTTACTTTATACTAAAAAATGTGTTTTCCTGATAATACGCTGCTTTTATACTATAAAATTTTTTACTAAAAAATGTCATAGATTCTGCTTCTTTCAAAACTGTAGTGGTCACTCTGTATTATTACATAAACCTGTATTGTATGTGCGTACAATAGCTGAGTTAAGTAAATAGTATAATTATGAAAACTATTGTAGNNTTTTGGTCAATCTTTACTGAAGTCGCTAATAGTCCAAACACGACGGGAAATTTTTGATTTTATAGAAGCATATGTTACACATGATCTTCCAGTTAAAGACAATTCACCGTTCATATCTCCAAGCTCGATTTTTATCGAATTGTGGCGAAAGAGTGGTAAGAGAATCACATTTATTAAGTACATTTTTAATTCTTTTACATTTTACATATAACTTGCCAAATTCAGCTGTCGATTTTACCTCCTTTTTATGTGTGTGAGAAAAGTTTACTCAAAGACTTTTTACCTAATACGGATGCCTACTGTGATGTGCTATTTTCGTTACTTTTTGTTACTTTTACAAACAAACACAAAAAGATTTAATAATATTTTGTATCGTCTGTCAACGAAATATATACCAACAAACAATACAAACTACACAGTTTTAGGATTAACCTATTACTATTTTGTATGCATGTGTTAGGTTACAAAATTCGTAGAAAATAACTACTTAAGTATTCTACATAAATAAAAACATAACCAACAAAAGTAGTATACTTTTTTTCCTTTAATATATGTACATACACAATAGTAGTCTATGGAGATTTTGAGTGAATTGTGTAAATTATCTTAATAATATAGAAATTTACAGTCATTAATATAAATAAATTTTTAATTATAAATTTATACTTATTATACAGTTAGAATTATTTTCTAGCACTCAGTATATTTTACATGGTCACTGACAAACATGTCTTCTACAACTTTATGTTTGAAAAAGCCATAAACTTATATCATAACATGTGAGTATATAAATTATTATGATAAATTTCGCAAAATGTTTATTTGTGTAATTCACATTATACGGTATCGTCAAAACGTAAAGACCATATTATTTTTTCTTTGAAACATTTATTAACTAATTTTATTAACTAATATGAATGTACTTTTTATACTACTCTCGTTTGTTATTAGTTTATCACGTGATAGTTATGCTACACAATTAAATTTTAATATTTTATGGAGCAAACTACTATCGGAGATGCCTACGCACAAAAATACGTATTTCCTAGGAACTTTAACGACTGTGATAACTTCTTGGACACACGTTGGTTATCCTATAGTACAAGTAAATCGACACAACAATACACGGACTCTTGAAATACTGATTAGAGACTGCTTTCTAAGTAATATGAAGAACTCTTGTGTAAGCACGTGGTGGATACCTGTGACCTACATAACAATACAACAGTCTAACATGACATATCAATGGTATTTACAACCAGACGAAAACAATATTATAGTTCCGAATATTGAAGAAGATGATTCTGTCCTTTTTATGGATGTACCTGGTAATATTTTTACACACATGGATTATTTAGTTTTGTTTATTACTCTTACATAGTACCTTTTAAATTTCCGTCAATGTAGTATAGTTACTGTTTCTTGCTTTATTGTTTTATTTCTTTTTTTTGTTTTTCTAATATTCTCACTGTTTTCTTTTGTCACTTTTACTAACACTTAAATGTTGTAGGATATCGCGTCAACTACGATCGTAAATCTTGGGAGAATATTGCTCTCTTCTTGAAACGTAAAACGTCTAAGATTTTATCTGACGTGTCATTAGCCCAAATTCTCGACGATGCTTTTTATTTTTTAATACAAAATACAGATTATAATGAAAATTTTGATTTAAATACTAATGATAATCTAGACATATTTTTTGATATTGCAACCAGTGTATTTCACGTGAACAATTCCTACATAGCTTGGTATCCTATATTTACTGCTTTCGAGTACTTATCAAAGATTTATCCCTTTCCCGAAAGCGCATACATCAAGGTAATTACTACTAACATAATAAATAATTTAGATGCTAAAACAAGATATACTAAAATGATACCTAAGTTTTTTACATTATACTTATAATATATTCTATAAAACTTTATGCCATTAGTTTTTACTTTTGCAATCAATACACAAAAAATTTTGTATACTAACTTATAAATAAACAAGTTGTTTTCAACATAAAAATCCAAATCAAAAAGAAACACAAGATAAACAGATAAATTCTATTTATCAGATGACTTGTTTGTTGATAACTGTCCAAAACTATGTTGTAGAAAAACATGTGATACATTAAACAAATAGTAAATATTATTTATTAAATATCTGACGTTTTCAAACATGTATAAGTTTCAGATAAAAAAGACAAAACATTTACATGTACATAAGCGTTTGATAAAAACATTGAAATATGAAATGTATTAACTTTAAAAACTAACTAATTTAAAACTTTATTCTTACGAAAATATTTTATATATATAAACATCATTAAATAAACTTAAGTGTAAGTGTTAATGTATAAAACAAACTCATATATTTTGATTTATTAGGATAGAATTCTGGATGTATTGCATAAGTTTCTTGAAGATTCGTCGCATACACCTTCTTCCGAAAATAATGTCACTAATCAGTTATATTACGAAGTTTTAAAATGGGCATGTATTCTCGATAGCATAAAGTGCAAAGATATTGTTATGGATGAATTAACATGGCATATAGAAAATCTTGCACAAAACAGGTACGTTATTGACTTAAAAGCAACATAATAGTATTAAAGACGTTACCTGATTATAGTTATGTTGTTTTACGTTTATATACGATGTAATCACATAAACTTTACATTGTTCTTATTATTGTTACTATTAGTATTTTTGTTGTTGGTGTTGTTGTTGTTCTTGTTCTTGTTCTTGTTAAAAAAAAAACATTATCGCGACTAGTGATTTCTTAATTTCTTTCTCTCTCTCTTCTTTGAGTAAAGTTATATATATTGTTTCTTTGCAGACTTTTGCAAAGTTGGCAGAAATGGATATTTTGCCAGAGTTTAATGGTAGAAAATTCCACGTATGAGAACTCTTCTATATGGTATACATTAAAAACCATGTATGAAACGCAGTTAAAAGAAGAAGAAATGTTTAAATTTTTACCTTGTTCTCGACTTCGCAGCAATATTTTCTTATCTTTCAAATCCTTTGCTACTACTTTTCTACCATCTTCTGAACGTAGTGTAGATTTAAAGAAAAGTGATAGAGTTTCTTTTGTTTTTACTATTTATGCGAAGCATTCAAAAACTCTTGCGTCGCTGACGTCTATACTAGAAGAAATACGTTACATAGAAAGGTAAACCATTTTTTTGTATGTATAGACTTTTGCATATTTACATAATGTAGTTACGTTCTATATAAACTGCATATGAAATCCATTTGCCGCACATACCATGTTGTATTATAATATATACTTAATACGTAAACAAATAAATTTTACATATTAATTGTCATTGTTACTTGTGATAGCGACATTAACATAGGTGCACTAATGAACTGTATTATTAACAACATATATTCAGACGAAGGCTTGTCGATGGTACGTATAGGAAGTACTATATATAGTCATTTGCTTTATCAATATATATGGTTTACTTTATCTAATTTTACATATATAAAAATTTACACATTTCGGTTTTTATACATATCATGTATTTATATACGTAAGTGTGGTAGAGGTATATTGTAGTTATATAATATATCTTAAAATGGTTTTGATATAATAACGTTAATATGTACTATTATGTGTTTTTACACAATGCGCATTCACATCACATTCAATGCTAACAGCACAAAATATTTTCAGGTTACCGATGGAAAGTTCTTACAAATGCTGAGAAACAGACATCGTGCGGTAAATGTTTTTATAGACTATTTGAAGTAATCTATAAGTAGTGTTTCTTGGTGTTTAACGAGTTTTTTGAGTTTCTAAATGTAAACTAATTTCTATTTCTAAATTGATATTTTGTTTGTTCTTATAAACATATATTTTATTTATCTAATCTCTGCAAACATATACAAAAGTATTATATAAGATTTTGTAATCTGTTCCAGCCATCTTATGTTATTGTCGCCGTAAAACAAAAAGTTGATGATCGTCGTGCTTTATTAGTTAAAGTAAAAAATATCTTCTTTCCAAACCGTAAAATGCATTTATTTACAGAGATTTAATGGTAGACTTGTATACTCGTTTTATTTATCTTAAAGGAAAAAATGCTACCAATTACTTGTTTTTCTCAATACTTATGTGACTTGTGTGTAATAAGTAAAGTTTTCTTTTATGACAACAAAAAATATTTATTACTTATATTTAAAATCGGTACTACAGTTTACCGATTTTAATATAGTTACTAATTCGCGCCAGTTGTCCACAAAAGAAAATCAGATCGGTATTAACAATAAATAGTTTTTAATAGTATATTTGATTAAAGTATTGTTGTAAAGTTAAGTATTCAATAAGCATCTTGCACAAAACATAAATATATATTAAGTACAAAGTAAAACAATACAACATATATACATAACATTATAGAAATAAAAAAAAAGTTAGATATTATTTAATGTTAAGTTTAACAAGATTTATTGATAAGGACTATTACTAATACTTATAAAACAAAAACAGTTAGGGTAGTTTTACTCTATTATGTTTTAACTATAAGATAATGTTTGTTATATAATTTTTATTTACAATAAAAAGACCATTTGCACTTCATTTCTCTGGTTACTTTTTAATGTTTCTTAAAATTTAAACAATGTGCAATATTTTCTACTAAGTTTATATGTGAACATATTTATATAATATAATAAGATCCTTTTTTTTGCTCTACTACAAATACACTAAGAATAAATGTGTTACCACAAACGAACCTATATTGCTTGCTACTTTTATCGTCTCTTTTTGAAAAGTACAAAGGTACAGTAATTTCATTTCTATAATAATATTTGGTGTTACAAACCTTCTGTATGACAACTCGAAATAGACAAATAATGTCATTTGGCGTAATTTTTATCTATTGGTTTATTTATTTTAACTCATAAACATTTTTATAATACTACAAAAAACTTTAAAACTTTACATATATCTTTCTTAATGAACCTATTGAGACGTCATGTAACATGCAGTACACTAGATGCGCGCGTACTCTCTATAATAGATATTTACTTATAACTGCAATACGTTAAAACTTTATCGACAGACGCGCTATCAGAATTATTGCGTCATTCTATCTTTGTATTATATCTAATATGCAATAAAATAGAGCGAGATGAAATAACGCTCTACTTTACCGCAGCTAACTCTACAGATTTACATCAAAGTATCAATTACAAGCGAAAGTGATCAGAAACCCTGATTAAACATTATATTGTACTATTTGATTTCTCTTTGTGTATGTGACAATCTTTCCTGAGTTCATCAAGAAAAGAAACTCGGTGTTTGCATAAAAAAAGTAAAGAGTGCAAAGTGGAGATAACGGTTTGTGTTAAATTGGCGGGATACTCGCTAACATCCAATAGCTGTAAAGTAAGATGGCTTTCTGATATGAGATATACGCAAACCGAACAAGTTTTTGTCCGTTTTACTTTACATTTTTCATTGAACATAGTGTAGTTTTCAGGCGTTTTTTTGCTCTGATTTATGTATATGTCACAGAAAAACCTGAGAGCAGCCAAACCATGAAACTTTTTTCCGACATAATCGCAGTTGCTGCTTTTACCATTACGTATCCATAAAACTAGATGTATGAAACACTTACAAAGCAACAATCACTTTCAATCGTAGACAGAACAAATGTAATTCTCTTTGAGTCTGTGCTGCACTCACTTTTAAATAGTTTAACAATTTGTTTATAGTTTATTCAATGTAGTTGTTTCAAAAAAACAACTATTGAATTGATTATCTCAAATAAAACATTTTGAATATGAACGTTATCGCATATTAAACAGTGAATATTTACATTTCAAAAGTCATAGTTTTATCACTAACCATATTTCTATCAGTAAAGATAACTTTCGTAGACCGCGAATTCAATTGAACGCGATTTACATATTGTAATGAAGACTAAGTACTTTGTTTCTTCACTATGCGCTCTTCTGCGAGCTTCGTATATCGCGATTTATAAAACGCGGCATTTCTGTAGATCAGAATATCGCCGAACTACGAAACCTACCTTTATACAGTAGCGTAGTAAGAAAAGACAGCTACCGGTGCAGTCTTTTTCCCTTATTCTTTATAAGATTACTTCGATAATAATTTAAATAACAAGCAAATAATTGGTTTACTCTTGTAAAAATCCTTACTTTTTTACGTTTTACTTTTTTTTAACCAAATAATTTTTTTAAAATACAAACAAAGTACTAACTTGATCGTAAATTATTTGTCTAATTATTTGCACAATTGTCTGTGTTACAAACTGTAAATATAAAAGTGTGAACAATTCGTACGTTTGTGTGCTACGTAATTATTTCGAAGAAAAACAAAGCGCATTACTCATAAGCAAAAAAAACAAAGCAAGTTTTTCATTTTACATCAACGCCTCTAGTAATTTTTGATAAACAAGAAACGCCGAATTGATTGAAACAACATTTTCTGTCTATTACGCAAGTTGGAGAAGTAAGAAGAAATGAGATTGTTGTATTACATTAAACAACGATCGAACTGTAAGCATTGAAATTGCGGGTCTATATTGTTCCATCGAATCTTTGTTAAGAAAGCGATCGAGACGTACCGCTTTCTTTGCACCTTTCTTAATACGGCACTGTCTCTATATGTATCTACATGACATACACTCTAAGTAAGATGTTTTTCACAATACAGATGTTTTCATCGCGATATATATTTCTTACTTCACGAAAACGACTGTCCTGTAGTTATCGAGTATCTTTCAAACAGGCAAGATCGCAGATATCTTTCGACACCTCGTTTTTGTGACCGTGTATAATGAGAATTCTTGTGTTCCAATTTTCATATTTTAATTGATGAGATTATTGTCTTAAATATGGTAAGTCACCATAAACTTGTACATTATTTGTTAAATATCAATATTTGGTAGCAAATGTAGCTTCTATCTTTCATTACACACTACCAAACTATGAAATTCGTTTTTTGTTCTTTATATATAAAAGAAATATATCTACTCGATTTTCTTACTTATTATACGACTTATAATATTTGTCACTCTACTCCGTACATTTCGATTACATGAATACTACTACATTTTAAATTCTTTTTTGCACTGATGTAATTTGCAATGTGTGACATATTATATTAATAAAACGCGCTTCACAAATGTGAACAGTTTACTGTAGAATATAGCTTTGTTCGTTGAAATAATATTTTGTCATAAACGTTTCACAAACTTTGGACTCGTTTTTCTTCACTTGTTCTTCTATATAGTAATTAAATGAACCCATGATAAATATGTGAATGTATGTGTATACGTGTATGTGCAAGCGAGAAACATAAAGACATCGCAGCATAATGATAAACATACTAATAATAACGGTCATACACATCTGTTGGTAACAATAATATTTGAAAACGCACTTTATGACCGCGTTTAGCAAAACAAACGTTAAGTTGTTGTCTTGTCGATATTCGACGTTAAGTAAATAGTTCTAAAAATAAGAGCCAATTATATTTGATTACTACAGAGCAGCTTGTTTTGCTCAACGCAACCATTTATTCTATACAATTTAAATCCGTTGTTGTGCTTTCATTTGCATATTTCTTGTTTAACAACCAATTTACTTTTATAGATGCACATTACGCAGATGCTTACATTCTGTGGTACTTTGTGCTTAATATTTCTAACCGAAATTGCTTCTTCCACGGATGAGACTTTATCTGAAGAATTGCAATGCATAAAACCGATATCCTATGAAATGAAGATTTTTCCGCTAATACAAAATAACTCTCTTAACGTTGAGACTCGCGTCAAAATAAACGTTAGCTGTTTACAGTCACCTATAAAATTAAATTTCGGACGTTATTGTGATACACCGGAAATTACTTTTATTAGTAATAATATATTAAGACGTGATAATCTTACTTCTTTGTTTTGGACAACGTCGGTGTCATTTTTGACGAAAGATCAATCCAATATTTTACTCATTAGAGTTTTTCAAGTGAATCACATACTNTGGGACTTAACACCCCGAATAACATATCTACAACCCGGAATATATTGGATAAATGCGGTATATAATTGTATTTTAGACAAAGTTGCTACTGTTTTATCAAATAAAGAGCAATCTGAAGAATCGAAGTAAGTACATACTAACTTAAAACATTATTTAGTATTATTTTTGTTTTGTTGCACTATGATTTATATATATATTGACAAGTACTGGAACAATTTATCTTTAGCACTCACGATTTTCACTACACAGATATTTAATTTTGCCACGTATTCCCGCTAAATGGATATTTCCATATTGGGAAAACTCAGCAATTAAGGCCACATTTAGTATTCGAATTTACCACAACATCGATGAAATAGCTCTTTCACATATGCCTGGTGATACACGTCGTGAAAGAATTACATACTTTCCCCNTTCGTCTATAATGTCTACTCATTTAGTAGCAATAGCAGTCGTACCTTCTATCGTAGCAAATTCCTTGAATTTTTTTAAGGGAGATATTATAATAAACAGAGTAAAGATAAACAGTAACTTGTTATATGCACAATCTCTTATTACAAATATCAAGCAACATGTTAAAAACACTTGGANAGATGTATCNTGGTCACGTGTGATTTATGTAGCACTTCCAATAAATTCTAGCCATTACAAAAGTATAATAACTAAAAATCAAGTTTTCTTCAAGTAAGATACTACTCAAGACAATAAAACNAGTTTATAAACAGATGTACCAAAAATGACACAATTGCACTAAGACCAATGTTTTTCAGTGAAGCTGAAATTACATACGATGAAGAACTAGATTCACTTGCACAACAAAAAAAGGTAACATGTTTGGTAGCACGTAATGTAATACAAGAAATGTTTAGTGATTGGTTACCTACATTGAAACGGTCTGATTCTTGGTTTATGGAAGGTTTTTCAACATATTATGGAGTGTATATTATTGATAAGGTAAATCATACAGTATCATAGTCGTTTACACTTGTAACTTAAATGGTTTGTTACACGCAAATAGTATTTATAATAAACTTTATCCTACTAATATATACTTATACTATTGCAACACGTCCATGTAACACTGTTGTAATATTATTTATTTACATTTTTATTAAGATCCAGAAGTAGTATCAGAACATAGGTATGTATTAGATACTATATATACATATGTATATGTATATATTTATGAGTATATATGGTATCGTCATTTTCTACGTTTAACCCTATAACTCTAAAACGCAAATTTATTTATATTAGAGAAGAGCAGGTCAACAGTTTAACACTTTATGTTTCTCTGGATAAAGAAGCTTTTTGTTTTCGATTTTATC